TAATTATCAATCAACAATATGAATGCTATTAGTTATGAAACTGAGCACAACTGAGTCGACTCTACCGGAGCAGTACAACTTTGATTTGGAAAGTGATGAGTCTCAAACAATTATTGAATGGCCCCTTCATCGCTGAAACTACCAATCAACGTCTCTCAGGAATGCCTCACCATCCTGCTTCATGATAGCCTTCCTTGACATGTTTGCTTCATATTCGGTCTTCACCATCCAAGTAATCCAGCACCCCCTCTACCTAGGACATAAGTGTGTTTTGTGGACCTTCAAAGAGAATGAACTTACAAATTCCTCGGGAGTATACTTCTCTCCTGCCCCGCTATCTTGCCAAACAAGATGGTCTTGTCCACGTACATATCGCCTCCCATCCCAAGTCATCTGTACAGCTATTCCCCTGATCAAATGTGTGAGAGAGAGCGGGAGGTAGCTGTACAGATGAAACTTACCAGTCGAGTCAGTGTGCTTTCGCGGGCTGGTACCCTCGCATGGTGAAATATACATTAGCAAGGTGCTCATCACTGCGAGTCCACTGAGAAAGGGCTCACAGGACATGCCAGAGAAGACACACCGATGCTCTATACTATACTTCTTGACTGTATACTCAATCTCATCGATGGCAAGATGAAAGGCAGTCTTAATGAGTAATTGAAATGGCACACTGAATGGATGTTTCTTATACAGGGTTGTCTTCCATATCGGAGTATCTTGTATCTTTGTCATCGTGAACCATCCCGTAAAATGCTCAGCTTTGGGGGCCCTGAGTTGATTGACCTTTGCAAGGTTACGCACTTCGAGTGCGATCATGTATATGTACTCGTCTCCATTTCCAGGGTAGAATGGCCTTCCTTGTATGATGACATTGTAAATTTCAAGGAATCGATGGCGAAGCTCTTTTGTCCAGGACTTAAGCACCTTTATCACTGCCTGTCTGTCGCTTGGGGATTCATATACTGTAGTAAAGTTTCCTGAGCCAAGAGCTTTACCCAGAGGCTGGCCATCTGTTGCATCTCCGGAGGTTAGCCACAAGTCTTCACAAGACAAATGATCCTTACAGAACGAAGTGTCGTAGGTATCACTTGGTGTGCCCAGCCTGCTATGTCCTATGGCAGTGTATCCCATTGAAGACCTTGCCTGCTACTGACTTTCTGAAACCTCACGCCTACAAGTCATGAGTTTAGTGAACATGGCCATTTGTACATGACAGGGGGCTGACCAAGCTTGTCTTGGACTTCCTTGCTTAAAGAATTGCTATCAAAGAAGATCTACCTAGTATATGAGGACCTGAGACTGGTATGATTGAGTCAACGCACCAATTCATTGTAGGATGCACTGCTCCAGCTTTTAATCCGAGTGAACGCATTGATTTTCCCATCTGCATTTCGGTTAGTACTATGTTATCAGATGGATAAACAAGTCGGGTACTCTCCTATGCCGACCTCATCATATTTTACGAAGGAAATGATTGGTTTCAGAGTATTATTTACATCGGGCGCCTTGAAAACCAGAGTGCCCTGTCACATCTGTTTATATCATTAATCATTAGCGCGTACATCATAAAGAGATGAGAAACAAACAAAGCTCGGCTTGTATTCGGAGAAACAATCGCGAGTTGAATACCCCTTTTGATGATGTCGTGAATAATGTGGGGTGCATCTGGAAATAGCACTATGAAGTTCTGGTGATCACTGGCAGCGCACAGGGCGCTGATTGAGCTAATCACGAATAAGAAAAAAATGGATTGGGTTACCCCCTGTCGCGAACTCGTCGGTCATCCACTAGTTCAAGGTTGTCCTGAATCTTTGAATATGCGCCAGGACCTTTTCCAAACTTGTTTTCATTCAGCCTGCCACTCCAAAGAGTATTGCTAGTAAACAGGATAAATATCAGTATTATGCTGTAGGCATTAACTTTTCACAGGAACTGTGCTCACTCAACTTCGAACGCAATGATCTTGATTGACATTTCTCGATCCTAGGGATGGGGAGTGAAGTCAGGAGGGCGAGATTGCCATTCTGTTGTTGGGCTTGGACTGAAATACCGTGGGGAAATAGATCTCTATCATCCTTATTCCCAATCTGTTGGTACTCGCAAATATAAATCGATAAGGAATTGGCCACTGCAAGTTCTGCGTTTTGATACTCTATGTATCAGTTATAAATCATTTTTCCCATAAGGTCTCGGCTCATTCAATTCCTGAGTTGCATCTCTCCAAGACCGTGATGTCATAGTTATTGATCCTAAGGTAGGAATCTAACACTTGAGGTGCAAACTTGCTAAGGGTAAAAAGTATATCGCGGTCTTCAGCCCATCGAGCAATCCTTACTAAACCTCAGGCTTCGATATCCATGATAAATCAGAATTAATGAATCGCAATGTGTAAGCATGGTTCTACCTTTAAGATACGAGCTCTTAATCACCCGAAATGAACACGAACAGGTTTACAGCCAAAGTAGTGTAGGTTAAAACTTACAGTAAGAAGAACTGTCTACGTATACTTAAGTGTGTGTATAAAGAGGTCAGATAAGATAAGATTTCTAAATAAAAAATGGCGGAGGCGAAGTGTAGGCGTTACACAATGCGCATACATTTATTGACAAGACCAGCTCTCGGGGACACTGCTATTACCCATCCTATCATATGTGTTCCTCAGAGGATAACGACAATGTCTACGACTAAACTCTACGCCCAGCTCCGGCGTGTCGTTCACGTACTTTGTCCCCAGTAGAGTATCAGGCGCAATTCCCTCTTCCACCCATCTCACCAAAGCCGTCAACGCATTTTGATCCGGATTCAGATTTTCTGCAGTGAGATTTCCTCCAACAGCTGAAAGATGTTGTCCAAATTGCCAAGCTCCATCACCCGCATAACAGTGGCTCATTCCACTAATGCGGAAAAAGCGCATAAAGTCATCTAACTCCGTAGGAGGAAGCGCCATGGTCCGAGCGACATGGTTGTAGTATAATTCTGTCTCGATGGGTGAGATCATTATGTCAGCTTGTCCGTGATATATAATGACTTTTCCATTGCGGGCTTTGAATGCAGAGAGATCGCCGTTGAAAGTGGCGATATTGAAGGGATTCAAATCCTCGGCGTACTGATAATCCGTGAGGTTTAGCTTGGTCACATTAAAGGATGGATCGTAGACGACGTAGTGGAACCAATCCTACAAGAGATTTCAGCAAATGAGATAAATAAGAAGAGGACAGACTCACAGAAGCAAAGGAAATCGGTGTACCACCGGTATACAATGTTTCTACATACGCTGTGTCTTCGCCCCCTGGCTGTTGTCTCGGAAACATCAAGTTCCCATGAAGGCCATACATCGGGCTGAAAACTTGACGAAGAGCTTCTACTTGAGTGGCAGTCAGACAATCTGACGAGTTACTTCCAGGGGCACAAATGAGCTCCTCTGGTTTGTAGTCGCATAGATTGGGATCTTCAATAATGCCGTCTGCAACCCCATCGATGGTGTCACATTGCTTTAGGACATTCTCATGTATCAAACCGGACCACTGCTCCGCTGTTATAAAGGTTGGCGAGTCCGGAGTACCAAGGATTTCGAAAAACCGGCCAAAATAGGACATCAAGCTGTTGAAATTAAAGCCAGGCGAACCCGCGAGGACACCATCAAAGTAATCAGGGAAGTCTTGAACTGACTGGAATCCTTGCCGTCCACCGGTCGAACATCCAAAATAGTACGAAAAGTTGTGTGGAGATCCGTAAAACATTTTTGTAATTTCTTTTCCGACAAGTACATTCGTCTGAATTCTAATCAAAAGTCAGTCGAACGGACCTGCCAACGATAACATTTCTCTTACGAGCGAAAGACAAAATCTTCCAATACCTCCGAGTTATTGTAAAATGGTTGTCCACTAGAGCCGTTGTGACCGTTGTTCGCCCCTACTGTAGCGAATCCCAGACCTGCACCGTAAGCCATATCAGCGTACTGAATGCCTAAACAAATGTTAACAATAATCGAATTGGACGCATAAGAAATATGATGCTTACATCCTGCCAATCCACCATTTCCCGTGCTCAGGAATCTTCCTGTCCAGTTCCTAGGAAGCCAAGCCTCCATTGCGATACCAGATTGATCGGAAGTAGAGACGTTGAGTGCCACCCTACACATATCGGCAAGAGTTACTTGAGAAGATGCAACCCCCACGGCATCGCAGGTAGGATTGACGAAAGACAGGTTTGTTCCTGCGGGAACTACCTCTGAGAAGAACACGGTCGTATTGGCGATGGAAGCTGCCTGCGAAGCAATATTATCGCAGGCGGAGTCAAAGTCAACAGACGCAGCATGTATGGAAAGAATCGTCTGCAGGAATGGTAGCTTGCCCAACATCATGGGCTGTTTCGATGCAGAATGAAAATATGGATGCCTCACTTATATGAGCAGAAAGTATCAATGACATATGTAGAGTCATTTAACGAAACGTCTTCTCCGACTCCGCCGCACCTCCAAGTGGTTACTAACACTTCCCACCGCGGGGGGTAGACCGAGCATATAATTAAATATCGCGCTTTGGAAAGGTCGTCCTTTCCCAGAGATTCATACCCATGTGCGTCGCGGCGCATGAGTCATATAACGTAAGTATAATTTTTGCCAGAGCCTGAAGCTTGAAGTTTGGGTTCGATGAGCCAGACTGGCCGTTTCCGATATTCCGTTCATCGAGAACAAATAATATCTCAGCCAATTCAGTGTCCTGATTTAAACTTTACTCAATCAGTTGAGTATTCACCCTCTTCGCCCTATACTTCACGTCGGATCGTATTCGGACTTAAAAAAATTCTAAAGAGAGAAAAAAAAAAAGAGTATCCTCACATTGTGCACTCACTCTGACTAGATAGCTCTCCTAAAAACCTTCATGGTCGGAGATTTGATAACTTTGAAGTACTTTAAGCAATGCTCTGCGTAACATACGAAAAGTATCTCTAGCAAACTGCGTATAGAAAATAAAAATAACCTCAAAATTGATTGATACACCGTTCGGGAATCGAACCCGAGCCGCTTGCTGTCCTTCAAAAGCTTCAAAAGCCCAGATGGATGGAAGGCAAGCATGATAACCACTTCACCAACGGTGTTCAACGATATTAAAGAGGAAATTAAGGCTAACAGCGAAACTTGAATACGGGACAAATGGACGCGACGAGAGCAATATTGTTTGTGCAAGCTTAATTTTTGAATTCACGATTAATCGTTCTTATCGCATTTCAACTTCAAGCCACCAGCGGCATATCAAATTGAAATCATAGTATTGTATTACACTACGATGACTATTACACACGGTACAGATCCCATCACCAGTCCATTAAAACCTCTAAGTAGGGGTATATTATCAGGAGGTATTTCGATATCCATCGAAGGAATGTTCACATCTAAAAAATCTACGATAGAGCATGAACAACCGCTTCAAACGTCGCAAACGTAGCCATGTTGACGGGAATCGCCCTGTGAAGCACAAAAACATCAACAAAACGTTTCTCCGCGAGAACCCAAGCCTAGATCTAGACTTTCTCTTTTTATATACATACCGGATAAGGGTAGGCGATAGACCCCTGAAGAACACTTGTATTCCCTCGGTTCGGTACGAATGGACGATGGTGGACCATGTCGAACGATAGGGATTTGCCGAAGATGATGGCGTTGCCTTCGTCGAATACATTTGAGACCAAATCGGAGTAACTGCGGAAGAAGAGGAAGTCGAAGTCGCGGAACGAGTAAAAGATGAGGCTGATAGCGATGATCCTTCGGTGCCTTGCATACGCGTCTTCACAACATCGAATGGAAAGGTAAACACCCATCCCGCTACACAAGATAACATCATGACAGGTTATCGATGAAGCCTTCATTTCCGGCAAGGATAAAGTTAGGGCTTACCGATGCCCGCTACTGCCCCTGCGGTCAACAAAGTCACCCACGATGATTGGTTTGGCTGATGATCAAATTCATGCACAACGAGCGACGTCTCAGAGGAACGAGCCGCAGATGACGCGCTAGAGTTTAAGTACCTGCATGTAGCTTCATACTACCAAAGTAAAAAGGACAATTTTAGCTCAACCATATACGCAAGGTGGGACGATAACATACAGCCCAAAAATATGCCCCATATCCAGAATCTCTAAGAATCGTTGAGGTGCCTCCACGGTACAGTCCGCGTACGCCGGAACGTTTGAAGATATCCCAAGCGACTTGCCTTGCACTCGTTGGAGTGACGAGTGACTGTTGCCGGATCTTGATAAGTTCCGTTGGAGTTGTGATAATGCTATAACGTGCTTGACACCGCGAACCTTATTAGAACTATTACCGGGATACTACTCACGAAGATATGGCCCCACATCCAGCTCCTGCTAAAGCAATTTGCGACATTGTAGGTACGGCGTTGCCGTTATCGAGTTGTATTCTGAGAAGAAAGCGATACGAAGCGAATACGAGACCGTTCATCAACGCAACCGCTGCCTATTTTTTGGGTGGAGGGTTCGTCAGTTTGCGATGCAAGTGAGTCCGTAACGAAACATTCGAAACATACCAGCGGAGATGTTATCCCCTTGAACAACCCAACAAACTTCTCCTCTCGAACGATTGTTGCCAATGCATTCGTGGTTGACGAGTACCTTGATGCAAACTGGGGATTCTGGAATCGGACCTTTACTGCACAAGGCTTGAGTATTTTGGCTCTGGGCGAGGCAAGGCCTTTTCACCTGTATCAAATGGAAAACCAACTACGAGACTGGCTGCGCCCTGCAAGACACTTGAACGACCTCTGATGATAATTCTGTGTAGATTTGAAGACTCACCCCCATCGTGCCAGCGATGAAGTCGACAGTCGGATTTAATTCTAATCAGAGTTCAGGGACCGTTCAGGGCAAGGCAACTCGATAGATGGATAGATAGTGAGATAGATACCGACCTTGATTCTCGCTCATGATGGTGGTTAGGAATGAAGCATGAAGGCAATACGACGGGAAAGGGGGTGTCCTCGGTCAAATTCCGAATGTCCCGCTCGGCCGGAACACAGTGCCAAGTCCCGGGATCGCGTTACGCGTTTTCTGTGATGCATTGTGTGGCGCAGGGTATCCACCTCTTACTCTCAAGAAACCGGATTACATTCTCTTCTACTGTACTGTACATAAAACCCTATCGCTAATGAACCACTATGGAGCAAGTTTTTGTCAAAAGAATGCACCGAAATGCGAAACAAATTTCCATCGCACAAGAGCGTTCATGCGGGACACGCAGAAGCACCGAAAGAGATGTCGTCAAAGTACGGTCCTAAGACATCCCATCAGATTAATCCAATCCTCTTTCGTGACCGCGATCGTAGAAAAAAAACATACCAAGGTGGTTCGATACACTAGCGTCCAAGATGTTATTCCCAGAAGCGCAATTGTCGTTATCCTGTCCGGGACAAGCAATGAATCCAGTCGCCTGGCCATTCGAGTCGACACTCGTAATATGGTTTTCGCCAGAGGGGTGAACAAAGCCGAGGAGTTCTGGTGGGACTGTAGGGACAGGATCATGCTGGTTTGTAACGAATGAGAATGAATCGCCAAGCTAGGTACGGTGAATGTTCATCAGAACGAGAGAGAATGAATCAACTATAATACAACACACCGTCGAGTCAACAAAGTCTGCCCAAGCTTGATCGCCAACGCGGGGAAGTCCAAAAACGGTGGTCGTCAACGTAACTGATGGATCCAGATTTTCCTTGAGGAACATGGCATCAAGACTGGCAACAGCAGCGCCTTATACGCAATTCACTTTAAGCGGATTGATTCCCAAGAATTGAAATGCTCGGCGTACCTAGCGAATGACCAGTAATCAAAACATTATTCGCGTTGTTCGCGGCGAGTCCCTGTTGAACACCCGCCAGAACACCATCTGCAGTACGCTCAAAGGTCTGCTGGAACCCATCGTGGACTTGAATTCCCTCTGAAGAAAAGTGAGTCAGTACCTATTCCAATTGATGAACTGTACAAGACAGGTACCCACTTCCTGCGGCAGCCGTGAATCTTGTGGTATTGAGATCAACGAGACCGAATTTGGCGTCGTTCAGAATGGACAGCCTATATTCGGAATTGCGATCATCAGTCGTTCTGCGGGCACAGGACAAAGTGCAGTGCTCACAGGTTGTTCGGGTCTGTCCCTTGATGAGCGACGACACTTCAAGATAAATCCGGTTAGACATAAAATGACTCAAGAGTTAGGATAGACGCACATAGAATTCGTTGATGGATCATGAGCAATAAAGTCTGGAATCGCGTACGCGCGCCCAAGTCAATGTCAACCAACCGTCCAATGATGCGACGGGACACCAACTTACACATAGGAATCGTTCCATCATCTTCAGAATAAGAAAAACCAGTTGATTAACGCCCTCATCCAGAAAAAAAACAAGACTAAACGACGCACTTCCTCCGACTTGGAACACATCAACACCAGATCCAGCAGCTTCACAAGGTGCACCGCAGTTGAAACTCTGTACTGCATCACTGGAACAATAAGCTATCCTCGAAAAGAACGCGGGTCGTAAAAAGTCGGAAGTCACTGTGTCGTTGGATACGTTAGTGGTGGATGCAGAGTTGTCGTCACTTGAACCGAGACCGAAGATTGGGGCGGCCAGGACTTGGCGAGAGGCGAGGATATACGCGGAAAGGAGAGTGGAAAGAAGGGAGCGGACCATTTCGACGTGAGATGGCTTGTATTTCTTATACTAAACAGTGGGGAAAGCGGAGGTGGGGTTTTGCGGGTCGACGAAAGGAAGAGGCGCAGCCTGAGTCGAAGAAGCAAAAGTAGAAGGAAGAAAGCAAAACAACGGGAACCTTCAAGAGAAGGGAAGAAAAGAGGAAAGGAAAGAGCACAGTAAGCGGGTGAATTTGAAAACATTCTCCTTATGTATCCGCAGAGAACATTGCTTGACAACTACTCTATTCTGGCAGCGTGATAATGATTATCGCCAGTCAAATGGCATCGTTGATGCGAACAGCGAACTGACACAGATTTCATGTTGCCTGTATATCAAGCGAGGGAGAGATGCGCGTGTCTGTTCAGTGTTAAGGGAGGCAGTACAGTACCCGTCGTCGAGGTACATTGCAACCAATCTTCCACGTGATAGAACCATCCTCGTCGGCGTTTAGAATTCTAACAAGACGATGCCCATGTCGATAGGTTAGCCAAGTGGGTATTTGAGTTAGGCTATTGTTTATTTGAATTTCTTTGGTGCAGATATTCTTCGATCACTATCATCTTATGCCGTCTGAGGCTCTCCAGCTTATTCTCCGTGATCAAATCCCAGTCGAAGAGGATATTAGATCACTCTTAAATCGCATTGAGTCGAGGGACTCGCTGGTGCAAGCATGGGCATATCTTGATTCTTGATGCTAAGTTCTCTGGATCGGCCCCGGATCATAAACATAGGCGAGGACGATAGCGATTAGAGTAAAGGATATAATGCATACAAAGGGTCATACTCAGCATTCGACGTGATGAACATTGCTAGATCGATACTTTATAGGTGACATGCCTACGGAGCACAACTCGCCCAATATCGAGGAAGCTTTGTTCAACAAGTCGATGCTAATCCGAAGATGACGCTACGAAACTCCGGAGCATTCATATTCGGTCTAATTTGAACATTACCTCTCAATCACTTATGCCACAAATTCCGCCCATACCTCAGTTAACCAAAATCTAGCACTCGCTTCCCAATTTTTGCCATTGATAGTGCAACAAGAGTTCAGTCGGTGCACAGGATTGCGAAAGTCCAACCAGGTATGGATACTACGCGAATGCTGAAGATTCCAACGGTTGGCGCTTCGAATTTGCAAGTCGCCATTTTACAGCAGAAAGGTGACGACTAAAATCGAGAGAATCGAGCCTGGGGAAAGAAGTGCTCAGCTGAGGGGCTTTCAATGAATTTCTCGGCGATTGAGTACGAAATATCCAACCGTCTAAGCTTGGTACTTCTGGAGATTAATCAATCGCTGTATGTGATAAACGGGGTGCGGAAGGGTGGAGCAAAAAAGTGATATCGAGCTGGAGAACGATGAAGAAAAAGATTGGGTGCCTAAACGGTCGGTGCTCC